CCCATCTCTGGGGTTCGATTCTCGTCTCAGGCAGTAGAGCTCCCCGAGAGAACAAATTTTTCGTCTTTATCATTCTCTTTTACTTTTCGGTTACGTTGGCAAGGATAAAACATGCGTTCTATCGAGAAGCTCTACTGCTCTACTCTCTGAAACGAGAATCGAGCCCCTGAGGAAGGAAGTATTTCGGACAAGCAGGATAATTAAGATGAAGCACCGATTCCCTTGCTGCATTAGGCGCCCGCCATAGAAAAACATTATTATAGAAAGAAATGAATTTTATTTCTATTTTTTTTTATACAAAAAAATGTACATGTCACATAATATACGCTGAAAAAAAAAGTCTAGACTAGCCTGGATACGCCTATGCCTACTATTATTGATTAGATGTACACGTGAATTGTAAATTGTAAGTATTTTTATCAAGGGAGGTAAGTATCGCTTTTATGCTTTTACTCTTAAGTACTAGAACAATAGTCTTTTTCCAATATTTTGGCCAGTCATTTCGTTGCGGATAAAAATAATGAGATAGAGTCATAAAGAACTCGATGAGATCTTCAAAAATAGGTATAACAGGACCCGTATCCCCTATTCAAATTTGGGGGGTTGTTCTCCCTCCATCTAAAGGATTGAAGCTGTGGAGACGAAAAAAACTGGAAAATATTTCCCCCTCAAATTAAAAATCGATGTGTCCGAGCGTTTTTCCAGATTTTCATTTCAAATCGAAAAAATCGGGGTGGAAAGTTTCCATTGGCCCACCCTGTATGTTTGTTGGCAACACTGAAATGTAGATATTTAACGTTTGCGCCGTGCACAGCATTTTGAGTTTAATTTTTCAGTTTTTGAGTTGAAATAATTCAGTTTTAATTATATTTTTACTTAAAATGAGCGAAGAGAAAGAATTTTTGTCATTATTTTAGTGAGTATCGTTTTATTTATATTAATAGACCCATTCATAAAACATCGAAAATTGCCACACAGAAAAGGAATAGAACTGTAGTATAACATACTCGGGTTCGTTCAGTAAGATTGAACGGTGTGAATTTTTATTACCTTTAAGGCCGCGTTAATGGCCGCCATGTTTAAATTTAGTTTTCGAAAATGACGAATGCGTCACTCTACACATAGGGTTCAATATTTTATTATTTGTACAAAACAAAATCTGTTTGTCGGTAAAACACTTAGTGACAGAGAAAGACAAATATACAATTATGATGCTACCAATGTAGCTTTTTTGCCGTGGCGCCATCTACTTGAAATTGCTTGAACTGTTTTCACCTTCAAAATTCGTTTTAAGGACATCTCAAAAAATCCGCAACAATTTCCAAAATCCTTTGGCATAAACATTATCTGATATATTATCTACAATCTCTACAATTAGTTTTTTTTTATTTTTTCGCGGTTATCAATAAAATATGCTTTTCACGGATCCAAGCTTGATAAACATGCAAATATGCAACCACCAACACCTTTAATTGTTTTGGTGGTTGCGAACATGATTTTTGAATTAAAAAAAAGGCTGAATATCGAAAAACCAAAATAAGGAATTGTAGATAATCGATCAAATAATGTTTATGTCAAATTTGAGCCAATTCTGATGTGCCGTTTTTTTTAAGACCTTAAAACAAGTTTCGAAAAATCAACCAATCACAGTTTATACATGGCGGCCATTAACGCGGCCATAAACAAAAATTTTCTGAAAAACGAAATGAAAAACAAATAGGACCTACGTTGTGAAAACTTACGTTCGACATAGCAAATATTTGGGAAATTTAAGGGAAGTTGTGATATGTAAAAGAAACGAAGAATGTGTGAAACGTCTACTTTATTATTAAAGTAAATCGTACCGTTCTCATCCTAGAACTAACAAAAGAAGAGGAAAGAGCATAGCAGAGAAACCCTCGATCTACATTCCTTAAAAATCGAAACATACTGTGTCATTTTAATAATAATTGTGAGTCATTAATTCGATAAAAGTTGAAACTAGGTACCGCTCCTGTTCTTGTGCTAAAATTTTAATTACACGCACTACATTCAATCAACACTGCCTAAAATCTGTTTTTTTTTTTAAAGATAAAAGTCAAAATGATATTGTGTTGGCAATACAATGTAAAATTGTCAAAGCTTTCAATTTTTTTATGTAGAAAAGGCTTGTGTTGCCAACATAGTTACTAAGTTTTTGACTTGGGGAATTATCTTAAAAAAAAAACAGACTTTATAATCAATACTGAAGAGTTTTTGGTTAGTTAGCCCATCTGTGGCAGGTACTGAGGTCCCTGGTTACGTAGACTCACAGCTATAGTTGTTTTTGAGCCAATATCTCTAGATTGATTATTTCAATTTACTAGGATATTCTCTTGTCAGGGTAGTAAAATGTTAGTAAATTCAACAAGGCCCGAATACACTCTTTAATACCGCTTTAATATTAGTACCTATTAATATAATTAATTAATATTTAATATTTAATAATATTTAATATTTAATACATCTTTAATACTCTTTAATACCGCTTAAAGCGGCGTTTCCACATGCATAGTTTATTGGCGCCAGTCGACTGGCGTAATTTCACTGGTACGTGGAAACGCGAAAAATTAACAGGCGCCACTTATTCATGCGCCAGTGAAGAAGAATTGAGGTCTACTTTTTGGCGCCAGTTTGCCATGTGTGACAGTTTGTCAAAAAAATACAAACGTTTTCACAGAGATAAATACTATATAAATTGTCGAGAATGGAATCTCAGTATAAATTTTGTTGTCAACAAAATTGAGCCAAGCCAGCGCCATCTACCATATTGGAAAATCACTATTTACTGGTTTTGTATCGATGCTACAGACACCTACTTTACATAGGGCTTTTTATGATAGATGTTTGTTTATTCTAGACTTTGGGGCATTAATGTTTGCTTAAATTAATTGATAATTTGTTAATTAGATCAAAAGACAGTTTCTTTATCGATGGTTAAGGGTATCCTTGACATATTTATTCAAAGTTCTGATTGATGTTTAATTAAACCTGTCATGTATCTAATCAACAAGGATAAAAATAGATCTTCCAATCTATAAAGTTTGAAGATCTTCTTGAAACACACAAAACAACTTTGAAATCACTTAAGAACACTTGACAACACAAAGAAAGACGAAATGCAAAACCGGCGAACAAAAAACATTATGAATTATTAGTTTTGATCAAATGAATATTTTGGCATATTGTCATTATGTTGACATGTCAGTTATCGACATCGGACGTGTTCTTGATTTGCTGATATTTTACAATTCTGTGGTTGTCAACGACATCTAGAAAAACGGAAAAGAGTTATTATGTGGTTTATAACTGGCAATGAGAGATCGAAGGGCCTGCGTTTTCACTACCCGTTTTCAGAAAAATAATGCGAAAATGTCAAGTGAATCTAAAAAATTGAACATATAAAGTTTATGGAAGAGCATCCCTGTTTGTAGAAAGATAAGTGTTGATGTATTGTGCAAGTTCTCGTGTTCTTAAGTGGTTTTGATATCACTGCTGCTAAAAGCAAAATAGGAAGCTTTGGAAATGCTTCATGGTCTTCATCCGCTAACTCAGACAGTAAATTATTTGATGCTCCTAGAGCTTTTCTGCGTGAAATCCATTTTCGTACCCAGATCTTGTGTTTATGTCTCTTCTTCTTATTTTTTCGGGTCTTCTGCAATAATTCTAGAAACAAAATATCCACAGCAATAATAATATCTGCTTGAACCATTAAAGTTGACGCCATTTTTCATTTTTCTACTGCGCCAGTTAAAAGTTTTTGATATTAAGTGGAAATAGATACTGGCACCACTATTATCACGCCAGCAAACTGGCACGTGCACTGACACCAATATACTATGCTTTTGGAAACGCCACTTAGGGCCGGTATTATAAAGCACTGAACTGATGGTTGAGTTTCAACCTTGGGTTGAATCCTATCAATTTGCATGGAGTCAACCGAAGGTTGAAACTCAACCATCGGTCCAGTGTTTTATAATACGGGCCATTAATGTACGCTCTGAATACACAAAATCAAAATGTCAGCACAAAAAGATAGCACATAAAACATAAAAATGAAACAAATGATACTTTTATAAATAATTTAACTCTCAAAAACAGTATATGTAATAATTAATCAAATGACCTGTGAATGCTCCTTGACACACAAACTAATCACAAATTCGATTGAACAATCAGTTTAATACAAAATAAAAATAAATTTTGAATAATGAACAATGGCGGACAAATGGTCTTAAGGCACCAGCCCAAGCAATGGGCCCAAGCGTCTTCTCTGCGTTCTCGTCGCCTTCTACCTTCTTCCCTGCGGTACTCTCGTTCACCCCTAAACCTAAACTTCTTGGCGCAGTACATGGTTGCAATATTTGCTTTTATTCAGTAAACGTTTTTTAAAAAAGTTAAGATTTAAAGAAAAAATATTTTAAATAGGTGGTTTTCCTCAGAACGTCCAACTTTTCTGAAGGAGAAGGACTTATTTTGCTTCAGGAAGTTCAAAGATATCAAGACATTATTATACAGAGCAAAATTACCAATAAAATATCAAGGAAAGAAAAGATACCTTCTTAGTCCAATTTTTCGTTAGAACGTACCTCTATATTGCCACCAAAAATTCGTTAATGAAAATTAAATTTACAAACTACCTTATATGATTATGTCCGGAGGGCGACAGTCTGTTTTTGCGTCTTAATGCCCGCGCGGGCCCTAATGTGTACTTTATGCCCGTACGGGCATAAAGTAATAAATTATGTAGATGGTATCTAAGGTATAACAACACAATAATGTACTGGTATGACATAAAAAAATAAATGTAAGGAAATCTTACCTCAGAGATAATCTTAAGTTTAATAATAAAAAGATAATGACCAGCCGACCAGCCAATAGTATTGTCAAGGGTATTGTCAATTTTGAATAAAATAGAAAAGTCATATAAAAAGTATTTAATAAAAACAATAATAATAACATACACAGAGATCTAACATGGGCTTGATACAATAAAAATAAATAAAACTCTTGATTTTTTAACATAACAGCTTAGGTATCCTAAATGCTATACATACAGGGTGTATATTTTAAGTAATACTAATAGTGCTATACATAAGAAAAATTATGTATTATTTTTATTTTGATATATTAAAAAGTCTTTGACATCCTGTTTTTTTAATGTTAATCCCCTTTCGTTGCATAAATGGAGTAATGCCACAATGGCAAGTGGAGGACTCAATTCACCTGCCATTTTCTCAGGCAGTCTTTTTAAAAGTTCATCGTAAATAATGGAGAAATTTCTTGGCACCACTTTATTAGCCTCGTTCTGAAATAATTTGTTAGCACATACATTGAAATTGCTGCAAAACCAATGACTTCAAAACTGTACTTACATATTCCTCAGATTGCGTTAATATACACCACAATGCTTTTTTCAGTTTCTTCATGTCCATCGTTTTGGCCTTTTTTGCGTAATGCATATAATTTTGCTGGATCTAAACAAACATAAATATCAGTAATAAGCAGTAAAATAGCAAATCTAAATCCATTTACCAACTGTGGTGCGTCAATCAAATTTGTACCAGTGAAATCTTCTTCAGGCTGATGCCTAGACATATTATCGCCATTATCAGCACTATTCTCTAATAAGATGTCATCTCCAAGATCTTCTCCCATATGATCATTAACAGGCTAAAAACATTGAGATAAAGATATTTAATTCAATTACAATGACAAAAATACAATATTGTCACGGCTCTAGCATGCGTGACAAAAACCATGGGCCCGTTTATTCAAAATCAAAGTCCAATTAACACAACAATAATTTATTCCACGTTACTATGCACTCTGACACTAATTACTTCACAAATCCAAAATTCACAAGAACATGTAGAGTAGTACAGCAGAACATTATCAAAGCCGGAACGAAATTACAGTTACACCAATACTGGTTTTACTTGCATCTGTGCCAAAATCAACATACCTTTCTAATCGGGGTAGGACAACACTGGGCTCGTACATAATGCTTCTTTTAATTTTCTGAAAGCGGAATCGTTTTCTTGGGTCCAATTGAATGTTGATTTTTCTTCCGTTAATCAATGAAGCGGAGCAGCTATATGGGCGTAACCTTCCACAAATCTTCGATAGTAAGAACATAATCCCAGAAAACTCCTTAGTTCATGTTTGTCGTGTGGCTTTGGCAAATCCCTGACAGCATCTATCTTTCCTTCCATAACTTGTATGCCATCTTCGGATACCACGTGACGTAAGAACTTTGTTTTGAAATAGAAAACACTTATTTGGATTGAGTTTTAAGTTGGCATTCCGAAAGCGGTCAAAAACTTCTTTCAGGTTATTGAAATGTAGGTACTTGAAACGAATTTTCCATGAGCATGACAGCATTTAAATATACCAGGCAAGTTCTCCATGTAAGGCCTTGCAAAACAAGATGCATGTCGCTCAAACGTAGCTGGAGTATTACACAATCCGAAGGGCGTTACGTTAAATTGGTATAACCCGCTTCCGTTACTGAAGGCAGTTTTCTCTTTGTCATCTTTGTGTATTGCCACTTGCCAGTATCCACTTGTGAGATGCAAGGTGGAAAACCATTTGGAGCCCGATAGAGTTGTTGATGTATCGTCTATCCTTGGGAGAGGGTAGCTGTTCTTCTTAGTGACGTCATTAAGCTTACAGTAGTCCACACAAAACCTAAGACTTTCATATTTCTTCGTAACGAATACTACTGGCGTAGACCTTGAACTATTTGACTCTTCAATTAATCCCTCTTGAAGCATTTTATCAATTTGGTTTTCCACTTCCTGTTGTTTAGCTTCTTCTTCTTGTTTTTCTTTTTGTCGCCTGGCCTCTTTGTCTTGTTTTTCTTGTTGTTTAGCTTCTTCTTCTTTTTGTTTTTCTTTTTATCGCCTGGCCTGTTCGTCTTGTTTTTCTTGTTGTCGTTTAGCTTCTTCATCTTGTTTTTCTTTTTGTCGTCTAGCCTCTTGAAGTTCCAATATTTTGCGCAGAAGTTCTTCAATTTTTTTTTTTCCATTTTTGCTTGTTATCTCGTAATAGGCATATACAGGATGTTCTGGAATTTCCCTCAAACTCTCTTCAAATATCTTCCCTGGTCTTTGATTGAAGTTCCAAACACGTTGGAGGAGTCACAAATTGAATAACTTACTTTAAACTCGAAAAGAATATTCTAGAATTTTCTTGAAATGTCTTTTCCGAATGTCGATTGATATAGCAAACAAGTTGGTGAAGTCACAAAGTCAATATTTCCCTTGGTTTCTAAATAGAATATTCTAGAATTTTCCCGAAATTCCTAGAAATTCTTTTTCTGAATGGCTATTGATGTATTGAATACGTTGGCGAAGTCAGAAATTCGATATCTCCCTTGGTTTTTAAATAACTTTTCTAGAGCTTACTTGAAAATTCACTATCACAGTCACAATCGGGTATACAGTCACTTCCGGGGTAATTTACACAATCGGTTAAGTCTCTTTTGGTGATTGTCACTGCTTACACTGACTCACTGTCGCAGTGTTCACTATAGTGTCAACAGTGCCCGCCCAGTATTCTGCAATCGGATTTCACTTTGTAGTCCTCGAATTATGTCTCACTTCTGATACCAATGTCACGGCTCTGGCATGCGTGAGAAAAATCTTGGGTCCGTTTATTCAAAAATCAAAGTCCAATTAACACAATAATAATTTATTCCACGTTACTATGCACTCTGACACTAATTACTCCACTAATTAACTAAACTCTTTACAACTCTCAACAATAATCACTATCTAAATCATGTCACAGTCAATCTTAAACTTAAAAACTTCTAATACCGGCCTTTATGTATCCCTAATAAACGCAATAATCGTATTTGCCTTTTCTAGAATTTTGGCATGTAATCTGGATGCCGTGGCGAAAGCGCATCGTAAATTGTAGCAATAATATAGACAACCTCATTATCATTATCAATCTCTTTGTTGGTTTTCGTAATTGGCTTCATGGTAGGAATATTAATAAGGTATTCAATATTGTCCCTCAAATTTTCACATGATGACTCTTCCATTGGCATTGTGACCCTGAGTGAAAAAAACCTATAAAGTCAAAAATTGTAAAAAAAAAACAATAACTTACTTGTCTTCATCTACTTCAAGATTTCTCTTTTTGAATGGCTTGTTAGTGACATGGGTCAAGTCTTTTGGCGGTTTTAACCTGTCAAAGTCTATTGGAAGATGGTCGATTCTTTTTCTTTTGCGGCCTGGCTTCTTCTTTTCGTTGAGTTTTTCTTCATTTTTATCCACGCCTAAAAATTAGAATTTATTAATATTTCCATGTGTTTCTATCCAGATATGATTAGTTTGCTTAGAAACTACAAACCACTATAAATCAGGCTGGTTCTTCTGATAGGTTTCAATTTCCAATGGCTAGGACCAGCCCAAATCTGGCCGATTTGTGTTCCAGCGCTAAGTTCATCCATACTGTTGGAGCTCGAAGCTGATAAACTATGTTCGATGGGTCTGATATCAACAATGTATTCAACCTCTCGATGCATGAGTTGATTGACCACTATCTCTTCGCTCATTTCGTCGTCGTTCCCTTGAAATTGGAGAAGTCAAAAAAACACAATTCTGAACCACTCACTATTATTATCACCTTGTTCCGCAAAAATATCATGGAAAGATCCGTCTATTTCTGGTATTGGCAATCTATTGTCATCCAGAACAACTTCATCCAATAGATGTTTTTTTTTATGTGAACTGAAATTCAAAAAAAAATCGCGCATTAGTGCGGGAAAGTGACATTTTCGGAACTAAGATGCGTGCACGCTCGTAGAAAAAAGTAAAATATGTATAGTCCGACAAATACCAGTTTAAAGTCACGTGATACTGGTGGCAAAAAACGTATGTCCATTGATTATGTCGTTGATATCACCTACAAAAAGCTACTGGTGGTTAATTACTATTGAATTTTAATATATGTTCCCACTAGCATTTTACAAACGCGTTTCTGAAGTAGTATTGACCAATCAGAGGGCAATTTTAATACTTGCAATTGTTGCGAGACTCACTTTTGTCGCATCTGCTGTCTGTTGTAATACATTCTGAACTTAAACTGGGTACCCGTTTTCTATTTGCTTCTTTTCGAGTTGGAAAAAGGTTAATATAGTCAAAATTATTAGCTGTGTTTGTTCGTTGTATTATTTTCGAAAATAACTTTGACAAACTAATTGATGACAGTGACGGATTCTATTTCAGGTAAGAATATTATGAACAATATTTAGACAGCAATTTTTTTGTCAATTTTACTATCACCGCTGTTTGAGATGTACCTATTCAACAAGGATAGAGAAAAATCGCGTGACTTTAAAATGGTATTTTTTAAACTATAGACAATGCGTGAAGTATACAATTTTTGACAGTTGACAGCCTTCAAGGTTATGTTTCTGTTTATGCCTTGTTTCGTTTTTTGCTTTGTAAAGTTAATTAAACTGCAGATAATGATTAATTGAATACAATATAAATTTAATGCAATGCAAAATTTCAAAAAAAATACTCAAATTCCAAATTTTCCGTTGTCTACACTATAGTCTACATTGTCTACATAATTAACATAGTCTACATGGAAAAAAGTGGATGTAAACAATACGTAGATAACGAGTAGACAAACCGCGTAATAGCTATTTACCTAACAACTGCGGAAAATTAATTCGGAGTTCGGTGATGCAGCCGAGTGCGGAAAAATATTTTCCGCAAGTGTTAGGTACAATATTTTTCCTACAGGCGAAAAAATGTAAAATTTTTCTTTTTTTTTTTTGACATATCAGTGCGGTAAAATTTTTTCCGCACTGACAGCCATGCGGAAAAACTTTTTCCGCACTGATATGTCAAAAAAAAAACTTTTACCGCACCGTGCGGGAAAACTCATTTTCCGCACGCATATCAGTGCGGAAAATCGATTTTTCCGCACGGCTGTAGGAAAAGTAGATTTCATAGTTTACGGCACATTCCTGATCAAAACACTTCAAACAGCTGTTCTCAATAGCTGCCATAGTGCAGAGAGAGATGCAAATCCCACTTGTTTATTGTGCTTCCTGGCACAAACCCTTGCGTATGGAGCATTATGCAGCCATCGTTCCAGTGTGTTTGTTTAGTTCATTGGGTTGGAGTAGCCATAAGACCGAAGCAACAGTGCACAAATAACAAGTGGCAAGGAGAGCCTTTTTTCTCTATATCAAAAATGTCACAGATCGCATAGGGCGAACGCTAGAAAGACACAACGTTAAGCCTATCTACAAGTTCACGAGAACAATTCAGCAAAGTCTAAGATCGGTCAAGGATCCCAAAGCACCTCTTGAAACGGCTGGCGTCTATAGAATTCCCTGCTCTTGTGGATCTGTCTATGTAGGAACAACCAAATACTCTATAAACGCCAGAGTCAAAGAGCACAAAAAAAAAACTGTCAGAGTTACATTCTCGTAAACTTAGAGTTTAGACTTAAGCATTTTGTTATCTCTGTTTTCAGAACTAGACCAACCGTCAACCGTTATTGCTTTTCATGGGAACCGCTTTGTCAGCAAAGCTTATAATTATAAATATTTATTTTACTTAGGTTTAAGGCCGCGTTAATGGCCGCCATGTTTAAACTGTGATTGGTTGATTTTTCGAAACTTGTTTTAAGGTCTTTAAAAAAACGGCACATCAGAATTGACTCAAATTTGGCATAAACATTATTTGATCGATTATCTACAATTGACCTTTTGTTTGGACGCCATATTGCGGTGCGCGAACATAGTTGCCAAAGCAAGAAAACCAAAAATTACTAGCGGGCGCTGTCAACTAGATATTTTATTATTTCTATTCTGCCCAATACAAGCTAAAATTGATGGCTTTTCATTCCAAAAACATTCGTAATAGGCGGCAAATTTAAATTTTAAATGTAATTTATGCACTAACTTTGGATTTTAAAGTTGACAGAACGCTAGTAATTTTTTTTTCTACTGTTGGCAACTATGGCAATTGACCTTTTGTTTGAACGCCATATTGCGGTGCGCGAGCATAGTTGCCAAAAGTAGAAAAAAAAATTAATAGCTTACTGTCAACATTAAAAACAAAAGTCACTCCGCCTGTTACGAATGTTTTTGAAAAGAAAAGTCATCAATTTTAACTTCTATTGGGCAGAATAGAAATAATAAAATATCTACCTATTTACTTTCATTGTCTTTCATCAATCAGAGAGAGAAAGTAAACAAACAAAAAGGATAGCGAGGATCGATTATTCAGTTACTTTTGTTTTTAATGTTGACAGCCCGCTAGTAATTTTTGTTTTCTTCTTTTGGCAACTATGTTCGCGCACCGCAATATGGCGTCCAAACAAAAGGTCAATTTCTTATCACGGTTTTTCGATATTCAGCCTTTTTTTTAACTTAAAAATCATGTTCGCAACCACCAAAACAATTAAATGTGTTGGTGGTTGCATATTTGCTATGTTCATCAAGCTTGGATCCGTGAAAAGCATATTTTATTGATAACCACGAAAAACTAAAAAAAGCTAATTGTAGAGATTGTAGATAATATATCAAATAATGTTTATGCCAAAGGATTTTGGGAATTATTGCGGATTTTTTGAGATGACCTTAAAATGAATTTTGAAGGTGAAAACAGTTCAAGCAATTTCAAGTCGATGGCGCCACGGCAAAAAAGCTACATTGGGAGCATCATAATTCTATATTTGTCTTTCTCTGTCACTAAGTGTTTCACCGACAAACAGATTTTGTTTTGGACAAAAAATAAAATATTGAACCGTATGTGTAGAGTGACGCAGTCGTCATTTTCGAAAATTAAATTTGAACATGGTAGCCATTAACGCGGCCTTAAGGCAGTTGTATTGCAACCACGCTTGAATTTTTTTTTTTTTTTTAAATAACTCTCAAAATTCGAGTTGTTAACTGGCGCAGTTGGTAGGATATTGCTGACGGTTTCGCGCATCGTGTGACAAAGTTATCGGTTCCTTCCAACGATTTAAGGCAATATCGAACGAAATTTTTGAAAGTGGTGCAACGCAGGCTCATCCAGACCAGGGAAACCGGGAACAAAAATCATCCTATTCCTATTGGTGCGAGCAAACGGAACAAAAATCGTCCAGACGCTCATAAGGTAGTTCAAGGGAGAAGAGAAGCATCGCTTTTCCTATTGGGCTTAGGTTAAGAATGAAGAAAATCATCGTATTTCTGTTACTGTAAGTGAATCCTTTCAGTTTCTATTTTTTTATTTTTCCTGATTGTTTTATTGCTATACACTGTTTTTCACAAGTTAGGAAAATCCTAATTTTACTTTTTATATATTTTTATTGCTATACACTGTTTTTCACAAGTTAGGAAAATCCTAATTTTACTTTTTATATATTTTTACCTTATTACTTAGCTATTCACCTTCAAAACAAGTTAATAGATTTATAAATGCTTGTACTAATTTGATAACAGCTCATAGCGATCCCATTAATGCTGGCGCAGCCATTAATATTGCTCTTTTCGATACAATTTTAAGCAAACTAGTTGGTAGAGCAGCAGATTTAATTGCTTCTAGAATAGAATTAAACTCATGGGGTTGACTGTTGACCTGACTCTCTTGAGCAAGCTATGTCATTTGCTTTAGAAGAAGAAAATTTCCTTCAATTTAAAAATAGTTCTAATCTTATGCATAAGCAAACACCTTCTGGGGATAATACAAATTCTCAATTAAATGTGAATAAATCCAAAAGACCAATGCATTATTCTGCTAATGCATACCGTCCGAAAAATGTACCAAATTTTAACAATAATATATACCAAGAAATAATACTTCAAATTTTTATAATAACTTTAACCCAAACTATAACCCACAAAGAAACCCAAATTTCAACCAATTTAGAACAAATGCCCAAAATTCTGCCGAATTTAAACCTTTCTCAAATAACCTCCAAAATTTCAATAATAATTTTAGGTTTCCCCAAAATAATTCTAGCGTATCTCGCAAAACAGTGGAACCAATGGATACAACTTCCATAAATACTGCAGCCAATCGGTCAATACAAAGACGATTCGCTCAAGCGCCCCAACGCAATTTTAATTCACAAGAACTTTTCAACAAATCGGTCGAACCCTTACCAAATAACACCGAAATCGACCCTAATGATCAATTTGATTATTCCCAATTTCAGAGTCAATATGCCGAACAGCAATATTATCCTGATTCTGATGATAACCAAATTTCATTTGAAGAAAATGACTATGACAATAACAATCCCTATAACCAAATTTACGAAAATGCTAGTAACTATGAATACCCAGATTATGATGAAAATTTTCAAATAGTGACCCCGACTAACAATGTGACCTAATAAGTCTAAATAATTATTCTAATTCCGATTTTCCCGTTCTTATATTACCCGAATTAAATTCCTCATCGACACTGAAAAAGTTTTATCAAACCCAATCTTGCCTATCAATATACCCAAATTCAATCGACTTTGAACCATTTTCTACAGACTTTGGTGCCGCTAAAATACCAGAATCTTTAGTAAATATAGGCGACTCATTTGC